TTCTGTCTTTCTTTCTCAGGATTGCTTTAATTACTTTTTTATTTATCTGTTTATTTTTGGCTGTGCTGGGTCTTTGTTGCTGCTCGGGCTTTTCTTTAGTTGAAGGAAGCAGTGGCGACTCTCCATCTGAGGTGTGCGGGCTTCTCGCTGCAGGGGCCACTCCCGTCGCAGAGCGCAGGCTCGAGAGCAGCGGCTCAGCAGCTGTGACGCAGGGGCCTAGTTGCTCTTCTACACGTGGAATCTTCCTGGACCAGGAATCGAAGCTATTTCTCCTGCATCAGCAGGCATATTCTTAGATTCTTAACCACTGGACCACCAGGGAAGTCCCCGATTTCATTTTAAAGGAGCTCTCCCTTCATTAACTTTCACACCTGCCTCCTGGTCACCTGAGCCGCAAACTGTGTGGGCCTTGTCGATGCCCTGCCTCTCCACCTCTAGCCAGTCTCCAAGTCTTGCGGTGGAAGGGCTGAGAGGGCTGCATCCAGGGGGAAGCATCGTGGTTAGGTCAGGGGCTTGGTGGAGGTGAGCCCAAGATGTCAGGCTCCACGTGCAAAGCTGCAGGTGCAGAGGTCTCTGCAGAGTACAGGGCTTCAGGGGGAGAGGCTCCAGGCTCCAGAGGGAAGGAAGGCACTGGGTGAGTGGGTTCCCAGCCTTTCCATACCTCAGTTTCTCCTCTCTAAGCCAGAGATAAACATAGAACCTAAGGGGATGCAAAGATGAAAACAGTTTCCATTTGTAAGGCTGTTGGGAACTCTTCTTGCCCTGTAGCCAGAGCTCCATGGCCCCAGCTACTGGCAGAGTGTGCCTTCCCCACCCCGCCTCACCCCATTCCCACCCCTCCAGTCTTATTCCTGCCACCCCAACTGGTTCTGAGCCCAGGGCTGCACACTTGACCCCAGGGTCCATCTCCACACTGGGCCTCTGCACACTGGGGAGGTGGAGGTGGCCCCACTCAGCCTCAGGAGGAATTTGGTGCAGTTTGGGGGAAATACCCAGATCCAGGAAATGATCCTGACAGCACCAAGATGCATCTAGAATGTGAGTAACAGCCCTGGGCTCAGAAAAGAGGGGCTCGAAGGATGGTTCCACACCCTGAGGGCAGGAAAGGAGGGAACCAGGCCTGTGGGGCACTTGCTGGATAGACAGTGTCAGCAGGAGCTGGCCTGCTTTGGGCACTTCCTGCTCATGGGTCCAGCACCACATCCCTGGGCAAAGTAGATCCAGCACATCAGTCTCTGCAGGCCAGTGCCATGGAGACCTCATGTCCCAGTCCCTTAAAATGCAACCAGGTGATGCCAACCTCATCATAACTTCCATCCCCTCAGGAAGGATATCACGGTCCAGCCATGGTCTTCCTCTCCAGCCCAACGTCCATTCACTGGCACACACACTCACACACACCCTTGAGGATGGCCACAGCAAAGCTGGCTGCCCAGGCCACCCTGGAAACCCCCAGTGGATGGGGCCCTGGCTTGGGGTAGGGAGTGGCCCAGGGGCAGGCAGAGGGCAGCATCCAGGCCCAGGAAGTCCTGACTGCACCCTTCCTGGGGCCAGTGTGTCCTGGCACGTCTGTCGGTCCTTGGACTGTTGGGAGCTGGTGGTCAGGAGCTGAGGCTCCACATTACAATCAGACCCTCTGCATGTTGGGAGAGGCTGCAAAGAGGGAGCTGGGAAAATACATATATGTATATTAATAACAGCTTTATTGAGGTATAGTTCATACACCACATAATTCCTGCATTTAGAGTGAACAGTAATTTTAAGTATACTCACAGATACATGCAACCATCACCACAGTCAATTTTAGAACTTTTTCATGGCCCTAAAGAAAAACCCAGGGACTTCCCTGGTGGTCCTGTGGCTAAGACTCCATGTTCCCAATGAAAGGGGCTCAGGTTCAGTCCCCGGTCAGGGAACTAGATCCACAATGCTACACATAGGAGTCTGCAACTGAGAATCCCACAGGCCACAACTAAAGAGTCCATGTTGCCTCAATTAAGACCTGGTACAGCCAAATAAATAAACACATATTAAAGGAAAAAGAAACCTAGTACCCTTGAGCAATCACTCCACATTCCCTTCCCAGCCACTATTCTCACCCATGATTTGCCTGTTCTGGACTCTGGATATTTCATATAGGGGGGTAATATAACACATAGTCTTATATGACTGGCTTCTTTCATAGCATAATATTTTCAAGCAAAATGGACAACAACCCATGTTGCAGCATGTGTCAAAACTTCATTCCTCTTTATGGTTGAATAATTTTCCACTGTGTGGATATACCACATTTTTTCATGCATTCATCTGTTGGACATTAGGTTGCTTCCTTTTGGGGAGTTATGAATTATGTTGCTCTGAACATTGTGGAATTAATTAAAGCAACTTCAGCTAAAGTTAGAGTTGGAACAGGCCTGCACGGGAAACTCTCAAGCCCTCTGTGCATTATCAATTACCCCAAACAATAAGAGATACCCCCGTCACCTCTGACAGTACGGCATCTCCATTTACTATCTAGTAGAAAGAAGAAAATTTCTCTCTGCTTCATTCTGATTGCAGTCGAGATCGCAGTGCTCCAACCTATAGGAAGCCTCCATACTTTGTACCTCCAGCTCCTCCAATGGACTCTGGTTATCACAGTCCATCCCACCTCCCCCTTTATCCTATAGTAGCAAGTCCCCCCTTCTTGTTCTCTGGATTTGCCTGTGGTCCACTGTGGTTCACATATCTTGAATTGCAATTTCTCTATATTTCTGAATAAACTCAACTTTTGCTGATAAAATAACTGGCTATTTGTATTATTGAAGTTGATATATGTGGTGTCAGAAGTGGGATCTGGAGGTGAACCTCAAGAGGTGAAATCGACTGAGGTGTTGAACCAGGCTCCCTGTGCTTATCTCTTCTGTGGGTCACCACCAGCTTCTGATTTGACAAGTCTCCTCTCAAATTCCGAGCTCTGCTCATTTTGCGTTTTGAGCCCTCAACTTTATTCCTAACCCTAACCCTTTCACGGGTATGATGGTTTTGTCCTTGGTAAGTATTCAGTTGTTTTCTGGAGAGCACGTAGCAAGGTTCTCTTTGGGGGATTGAGGTAATTGTGATCTAAGAGTTCTGTTTTATTCCTTTTGGAATCTAGGCTAGGACTCTGGCAACTTTCTTGGGTTTTCAGAAGAACTTAGGGAAATGGGATCCAGTCATTTAAATGCTCTGAGGGCAGCCCTCCTTTGGGGACTCCAGCTGGTTTCATGCTTAAAATCTAGGGACCTCCCCATATAACCATTTTTTTTTAACTAAGTGGGTCAAACAAAGTAATCTGTAATTACAATGGCCATTATGGGAATCTTGATCTCCCCAAATTCGTTTTTCTTACAATTAAATTGGAAGATGGCAGTTCTAAAATTAAGCAAAATTGAATGGCATATTTATTTTCATTGGTAGTGCAAACAGAAAAAGACCTACCTCCCCCTATACCCCCAACAGGAAGGCATCTCCTTCACATTCAGCAGGAGAAAGAAAGCTTCTCTCCACTTCCCACAGCCCAGTCAAACAGAGACCACAGAGACCCAGCCTCCTGAAACCTCCTTACTTTGGATCCCCAGCTCCTCCAATGGACTCTGGTTATCACAGCCTCTATTCCCAGCTCCCTCTTTTCCCTAGAGTAGCAGGTTCCCCAACCTTGTTCTCTGGATTTGCCTGTGGTCCACCACTGCTCACATACCCTGAGTTGCAATTCCTCTGCTATTCCTAAATAAGTCTGCCTTTGCTGGTGAAATAACTGGCTAATTTATTATTAAAGGTGACAATATCCATGTACAGTTCTGCATGTTTTCATTTCTCTTGAATATGTACCTAGGAACGGAATTGCTGGGTCACATGGCAACTCTGTCTCACCCTTTGAGGAGCTGCCAGACTTTTTCAAATTGGGTTCACTGAATATTTTTGCAGGGTGCTCTGTCTATATTAATAATCTGAGTCAACCAAGATCAGCACGTCTACTCCTCTCTTAAGAACTACTCTTTGGCCACCAAGAGGCTAGAGTCTGGAGATCTCAGTGAAAACTGGGAGAACACGCCTGGGGACAGGCCGCCTGGGGAGGAGAGTTTGGGGCGCGGCTCAGGGCGGACAGCCCAGGAGGAGGGTCTGGGGCAGTCTGGGCGCCCCTGATAGGGGAGACGTCGCTCCTCCCGCAACTCACGCAACGCTAGTTACCTAGCGACCAGGTGGCATCCCTCCCAGCAAGCTCTGTTCCTAACGCTTGACATCGGAGACTACGAGTCCCAGGATACCCCGCGCCCAGGCGCTCAGACTACAAGTCCCACAATGCACCGCCCGCCCTTTTCTTGCCGCCCCCCGCCTCTGCTCTCTAGAGACCCTGCGGAGCGGGCGCCGCGACCCCTTCCCGGCGCTCTTCGCGCGGTCTCGCGCTGACTCGGGTGCGTGGGGTCAAGGCGCGGGGCGGAGCGGCTGGGGCCCGGGCGTCATGCGAAGGGGCGAGCGCCAGGGCGCCGAGGAGCCGCGGCCGGGGTCCCCGGTNTTTGAGGGTCCAGGAAACCAGCCTTGGGTCAACAGGTCCCAGACATGGCTCATGCACCTGATGACCCAGTGACCTTGGGCTACCCTTTGCCTGTCTGAGCTTCTCTTCCGTTGCTTGTTAAGAGGGACAAACCCTGTACCCTGGAAAGTGTGCTTCTTGAGAGGAGGGCTGTGGCTGTTCTTTGCTGCTCAGTTCAGGTCCACCTGAAGTTGAGTCCCGTGATGGGCCCTGGGGACAGTGGTGGCTTTGGGCCGTAGCCCGCAGGGATGCTGCATGGAAGCAGCTTCTTCAGCAGGTCTAGGAAACCTCAGAGGAGGTGCACGTGGGGCCACATGTGTCTTATCTCTGACCCAGGAGAGGCCGCAAGGGGAGGGTGTGGTGGGGGAAGCAGCCCTCTGATGAGGTCAGTGTTATCTCCTCTGTTGTGCAGGCAGCTGCTTCAAGGGTGGGGTGGGAGAGGGGTGGGTGACACGACGACCGGCCCTGCTTTGGGAAGCTGCTGTGCACCAGTGGCCTGAAGCCAGAAGGATGGGGAAAGGATGGGGTGCCCTCCTCAGTGAGGGTGCAGCCCCAGAGCTAGTGACTTGAGCACTGTGGGACCCTGCTGGACGTTCTTTGAGTGGACCAGGCCATCCGCTGTCCTGCTTGTGGGGCAGGGCCCCTTCAGACTGCAGGACAGAGGGCACAGTCCTCCCACACCCGAGCTGCTGGCTACTGAAGGGAGACAGGTCCTGGAGTGGTGGCCGGGCTTGCTTTTCTTCTTTCCCATTCATTCAGTGCATGTCTTGGGGGATGCCACTTGCTGCTTTAGGGCATACAACAGAGAACGAAACAAGAAGCTTAGATTCTGGCACAAGCAGGCTTCCTGTGCTGGCCAGGGGTTGCTGAGCCTTGCACTGATCTCAGAAGGCAGAGAGTTAGAAGAGCGAGTGCAGGTATCTTTAGAAGCACAGGTGCCAGCCCATGGGTCCCTGCCCATGGGGACACAGAAAGGCCTGCCGTAGTTGGGCTCTCCTGTGGGGAGGTCTGATGGAGCCTGGAAGGCTCTGAGGAGGGCATGCCCCAGGGCTGCTGGTTCCTGGGACCTGCCTCTAGGGCGGGTGCCCCAGCCTCTCCCCCACAGGTGTTGGGGTGCTGGTGTATGTGGTCTTTGTGGCATCCCGGGCTTCTGCCCTCACCTGAGTAGGGGAAGAAGCCTCATGTCTCCGTCAGGCAGGTTACCAGACGCTCGCCGGCGAGGATGACTCTCTTACTGGTAAGGCCCAGCCACTTTCTGCGTCTCCCATCGTTGACTTGCTGTGCTGGGATTTTAAAAACTCTTTCATTTTAATTTTTTGTTTTAGGGAATTTTAGTAATGAGTGAGACCAAAAAAGACTAAAAGGTATATATTTGTGGAAATGACTTTATGTTCCACAGTACTCAAAATAACTCTTCCATGTTCAAAACTTTGTTCTAACAGTTTTCGTTTTCAAAGAAGTTTGGGCTGCTTGGGGGTCAACTTATCAGCCACACAGTTTGGAATTCAGATTGAGCCTTGACGTCCGAGTCTGGGCTGCTTCAGGCTGGAAGGGGCAGAGGCTGGCAGGCTCCGCGGTGACACCGACCCCTCTTCTGCCGGCCGTGGTGCCTTCGGTGGGGGACATCTCAGGGAAACGTCAGGACCACAGATACTGGGGAAGCATGCAGAGATGCGACAGCTCAAACTGTCTCAGCGTTGTTCCAATCGCTCTTAGAGACCCAGTGCCCTGACAGGTGCTTCTAAACGTTACTGCCTGTAGGTAGAATATAAGTGAATCAACACTGGGGCACCACGCTTCAAGTCAGGGAAGAGATGGATGGTTGTGACGTTTGGGAAACGCTCGTTGTGTGCTCACATCTTACAACACTGAGCCTTCGGTGAGTGCCCTAAACTGATTCTCGGGGCTCTGCTGTTAACAATATGCTTTAAAAGTAGTTATGAGAATTTGCAGGGCTTATCTTGGATGCCCCAAGTTCCAGGAAATGCCTTCTCAGTCATTGTGTGTTGGGGTTTGCCAGTTTCGCCCACATCTGGGCAGCATGAGTTGCCAGCTGATGCCTTTTTGGTCAGGCTGGTCGTTGGCCCTCGGTGCCTCTTGCAGGCCTGGAACTGGCCGTCTGGTCTTGGCCCTACCTGGCTGTGCACTCAGTCTCACAGCCACACCTTCATATTTTCTCTAATTGGTTTAGGAGGCTGCCTCCCTGCCCACGCGGCATAGTGAATTGGTCATCTCTAGAGAGGGGCTGACAGCTGGGCATTTTCCACTGGTCGTGGCAGGGAGCCCAATGTCCTCATGCCCTCACGCTGGCCCAGTGGCCGAGTCACAGGATTCACGGCCGAGTGATCCCTGTGCCCGGATCCCGAGTCACCTATTAGCCAGGCAGCCAGGCGATGCTCCGGGAGCTCTGGCGTCTGGTGGGACATGGAGTCTTCCTGTGTCCTGAGCCCCAGCGTGTTGTCAGTGCAACGTCTCTGTTCACAGTGAGCATTCCACGGCATTCCCAGCCCTGGCATACGCACTTGGCCACATCGGGTCCGCCTTGATCCATCCAGCCTTCCGACGTGGGCCCTGGTGGCCCCGGTCAGCATTCGTGAGGACAGTGCCTGGAGTGTCTTCCTTCCCACTTTGGTGGCTCTCCCTTCCTGGCCACCGGGTTTCCCTCGGATGTCACTTCCCTTCTGTCAGGATAACGTCCCATGGTGTTTCTTGCAGGGCAAGTCTGCTCCCCAGAGTCCTGCCTTCTTCCTCTGTCCGCCTGCACTCCTCAGGGTTGGGGATGCTGCTTCAACATTTCTTTCACTGCTTTACAAATTTTGTCCCACGTCTGGGCTCTGTGGTTTTTGAGGAGAAATCTGAGCTCAGACTTGGTGTTTGAGCTGAAAAGGAGCCTGGCTAGGAGTCTGCTGCAGGGGCCTTTGGGACCAGTTCTGACACCTTGGTTTCTGACTTCATTCCTGTTTTTTGCTTTTTTCCTCTGAAAATGTTCACCAGGGTAAGTGTGGCCCCTGCCTCTCGGGGCAGGCAGATGGGCGTTCTGGAGCGCAGTTGGCGTCTGCCTCCCTCAGGGTGCAGGCGGCAGACACCCCGGGCTCGAGCAGGCATCCTTTGGCTCCACCCCATCCCCCACAGGCAGGTGTTTGCAGGCCTGGAGCTGGACACCAGCGGCCCTGGGTGGCTCTGCTCAGCCCTGCTCGACCCCTTCCTCCAGCCACGTGGGCCCTGCTGATGGCCCTCGCTCTTGTCTTACAGGCCTGGACCTGCATCTCCAGGTCCAGGGGCTGCTGTGAGGCCTTCCCTGATTCTGTGCCCCACCCCTGCCCTCCTCATTTCCCTCCATATCCAGCCCTCTGTTTGTCTTGCTCCAAGAGCGACAGCTCAGGAAGGCAGGATTGGGGTTTGTTGGCGCGTGGTAGGCATTCTAGCCAGTGTTTTGTCTGTGTTGCCTGGGAGCACTTGCCCTGGGTCTCCTAGACTCACAACACGGGTTTGGTGTCGGTGTGCTGGAGCCGTCCTGGGCAGGGCTCAGACCCCAGGCCCCCATCACCGAGCTGAGTGACCCTGGCAATGTGGTTCAGCTCTGAGCATCCACAGGGCCAAGGTGAGGAGGCGTCCCATGCCTCGTCATTGTCAGCTCAGCCCTGGTGGGGTCTCAGCGGCTCTGCTTCTCCTTGTGCAAATCGGGTGGGAAGGGTGCGCCGTGTCCTCGACCCGGGAGAGGCAGCTGAGCTTGCCGAGTCCCTTTGTGTGTAGGCCGGTGTCCAGCACAGTGGAGTTTCTGGGTCACCACCTCCAGGGAGCCTCAGGAGTGACAGCCTGGACCTTATGATGTCATCTGTGCCGGTCTCAGGCCCTGAGACACCGTGTGGAGTTCAGCTGAAAGGCTGAGGTCCTGGAGTTCCCTCACTGCCTCAGATTCACACGTGAATGTGTTAATATTGAATTGTATTAAGACAGTTAAAATAGGAGTTTGTTCACTTCTGACAGTTTTAAATGCCAGTGTTGTGAAATGTGGTAAAAGAATGAATGCAGTGTCTGCTTTCTTCACTTGGAGCTGACTTACCTGAATGTGACTGTTTCTGTTTTCATAATAAAGAGCATAAAATAACAACTGAATAGATGGAGAGATATTCCTTGTCCTGTGGGTAGGGGAACCTGCATGTAGTGTTAGTCACGTATCAATTCTTCCTGTACCAACCAAGAAACTGCAGTTCCAACTGGACTCCCAGTAGCATCTTTTGTTGCAGCTGTCAGACTGCTGTCAAGTGAAGATGGGAGAGAAACAAGTTAGCTGATCAGGATGGGGAAGTGGGGGCCTGCCGCAGCATCCCCACGCAGCCTCGCTGCTTGTCTGCTCCCACTGGCCAGCGAAGCTGCACGCCTTCCATGTGTTGCTGGCCAGTTAAGTACCTTTTTCTGTGAAGTGTGTGTCGAGTCTTGTTTGCATTTTCAGGAGATTGTCCTTACTGTTGAGTTGTTAAGAGCTCTTCGTGTGTTCTGGGTACAGAGGCCTCTGTCAGGCATGAGTGTCGTGAATGTTTTCTCCAAGCTCGTGACTGACTCTTCCGTGTCTTCCGTGTTTCACGGGGTTCTGACGGCAGGCAGGGAACTGACGCTCGGTGGCCAGTCCTGGGCTTGCTGCTTCCCGTGTGTTGTCCGCCTAGTCTTCAGGACATCCCTCAAGGCTGGAAGTGTCTCTCCAAGGACACACTCTGCTCTTTTGGGTCTAGGAGCTGGGTCTCTGCCTCCTTTGCAGACAGCTGTTAGCAGGCAGGGGCTCCGGCAGGCACGTGGTGCTCAACACAGTGTGGTGGCTGCGGCTGTTTCCGGTCAGGCAGGCCTGCTGACTGCCGAGAGCCACCTCCTTGCTCCTGCGTGGGGCTCTGGAGCCTCAGCCAGGTGGCCAGGTAGAGGGAGGGGCCACTTCCCAGCCCGTCTGGGCAGCCGTCCCCCGCCCGGTCTCCGGGTGAACAGAGGGACCCACGCCCTCGCTCTGGGTCCCGGGGCCTCTCTCTGCACCTGTGTCTGCATCACCCTCGCGGGGCTTTCGCACTCGGTCACGGCATAAACTGCGAGGTTGGTCTTTAGGCGTCATTTGTTGTGTGACTTGAGCCGTGTGACTTGTGGCCCGGTCCCTCTGAACAAGAGCTGCCCCCTGCTCCCCGCTGCATGCCCGCCCAGCCAACGCGCAGGCAGAGGACTGTCTGAGCATCATGAGACTGGCAGCCAGCGGTCAGTGGGTTTTGAGCTGCAGGTCAAAGATGGAGTGCGCTTCTTGAGGGGCGTGTCACCCACGTGCTCTCCGTGTGCCGACGCGGGCTGTGTTTGCGTTGCAGGCGGGCCCACACCCTGACCGTGCTCTTCATCCTCACCTGTGTGCTGGGCTACGTGACTCTGCTGGAGGAGACACCGAGGGACACGGCCTACAACACCAAGAGGTACCCGCCCAGCCCAGCAGTGGGCAAGGGTCGGCACTCCGGGGCTGTGGGGCCTTGCAGCACTTTTCAGCCCCTCTTCTGCCCGGCCCAGCCCTGGCACCATCGACCCGGCTCCAAGGAGGGCTCAGGGGTTCAGGTCAGCTTCGATGGGGCGGCATCCCCCCGATTCACTTGGCACTCCAGGCCTCGCCTGAGTGTCTGGCAGGTCAGCTCAGTTCCAATGCTGTCCCCTGGGCAGCGCCAGGCCACATGGCCCCAGGTTCAGCCCCACCAGGCTGTACCCGCCCTCTTAGGCCCCAGTCGCAAATGCAGTTGTCACCGGATGCCCCCTCCTTGGGCTCAATTAGTTTGCTAGAGTGGCTCACAGAAATCAAGGAGCATTTTGCATATTTATTATAAGTTTACCATAGACTAAGGGACAAGCAGATGGGGAGACGTGGAGCGGGTGGAGGGGCAGGGGTGCTGAGCGCCTGCGCATCCCCGGAGGCCCTTGGGTTCGCTGACCCGGTCTCTGGGCTCTTCACACAGTGCGGTCGACTGAGGCATAGGCCACTGGCGTCATCCTCCCCAGAGGGCTGGCGGGACCTGTGGTTGGCTCCCCTGGTAGCACCTCCCATCTGGAGGTGGGATTCAAAACATAACCAAACACAGCTTTGTAGCCCTCAGCAGTTAGGGAATTCCAGGGGCTTTAGGAGTTCTGGCTAGAAACAGAGGAAGACCAAATCCATATTTCTTGCTGTGAGTCACAGTGACTGTGAATTTGAGTGTCTGGGCTTTCTGGAAGGCCAGGAGTGTTCCCATCAGTTAGTGCTGCGCCCTGCACTGTGCTGATAAGAGGCTGTTGGAAAGTTTTGGCCCGGTGTGAGGAGTATGGCCCATCTTGTCTTATCTCCAGAGACTAGTTGGCAGGATTGTGTCCTTTGCCTGACTCCAGTAGATTCCAGGGCCAGTCTCAGAAGTGCGTGGGGAAGATTAACTGGTTTTAGAACTCGTTTCTGTGTAGTTTCTACCCTAGACGGACTCACCTCTCCCCTCTGGTCCCATGAAGCCCCCATTGCTGTTCCAGTCCTGGGGCCCAGCCCCCACCTGCTCTGGTAGGGCAGCTGGAGGAGGCCAGGCAGGAACAGAGGCGGAGGGCACCGCCCAGAGCCCAGAGGTGCCAGGAGACTGTTGGTCAAGTTCAGCGGGTGGACTGGGCTTGTCCTCCTTCACCCTTGGGGTCTCGCTCTCCAGCTGGACTGTGGCGTGGACGCCAGGGCCCAGGACGCGGCAGGCACGTCTCGCCCTCCCCCGTGAGGTGCAGGCCTCCTGCCCGGGCTCCTGGCCCCCGCCTCCCTCCTGCCTCCCTGTGGCCTTTGCTGGGTCTTCCTCTTCGTTCCAAGTTCTACGTGTCAGCCCCTGAGTCCGCACCTCTGAGTGCCCAGCCCTCCGTGGTCACACTGCAGGCCGGCACACAGAGAGTGGGGCCCAGCGCCGAGGAGGCAGCTGCGCTGCTCTTGGACCGCTGGGGGGGCCCCTGGGGCTGTCCGCCAGCCCCCCGCCCCCCCACCGCAGGGGGCCCCAAGGATTCAGGAGGCAGTGAGGCAGTCTGGCCGGGGTGCTGCACTTGCCCCGAGGGGGTTTCTGACAGAGCTCGGTCTTCGCTGTGAATTTGGGTGCTCGCCCCGGGTGGAGGGCCTGCACCATCTACTGCGCGCAGCCATGCAAGAAGCCCGGAAAGCAGAACTTGGTCAGACTGAAGAGGTGTCCCGTGTGGCTGTGAGGTTGGGCCAGAGGCAAGGAGTCCTGATGTCACCAGGCAAGCATGGTCCCAGGGAAGAGCCGCTGCCACCCCCCACCCCCCCCCAATACAGAGTGTCTCGAAACACCGTCCCGGGGGCAGGGCTGGGTCTCACCAGACGTTTGCTGGGTGAGTCACAAAGCCTTGCTGCCAGGGACCCCCACTCCAACCCCCAGGGCAGTGGCCCCAGGACTCCCGTGGGCATGCCCCCAGCTCTTCATCCTGCGCCGGCCTTTCTCCTGAGCCGTCTGTGCCCGAGCGAGGGTACAGGGGGTGCCCCCAACAGGGCGCCTGGTTTTCTGCTGGGTCCCCGTGTGATTTCAGCAGAGGCGGGGCTGGGGAGGGCAAGCAGGTAGGAGTCTGGGGCCCCAGGCGCTTCTCTGCCCTCTCGACTACTTCAGGGCAAGAGAGCTCCCTCCAGGCCCTTGGGGCTGCCGTGGTGCCTGGAACCTGTCCTGGAAGCCTGCAGGCGCCACCCTGCACCTGACCGAGGCTCTGCAGCTTCTCCCAGGGACCAGCAAGTGTGCAGGAGCCCTCAGACCCCAGAGGGGGCCCCGCCTGCTCCCCGAGTCAGCGCCTCACACAGCCTGGGCTGCGACGAGGCCCCCTGTGTCTCTGGAGGCTGCTGGGGCATGCTTATTTTTATTTTTTATTATGTCAGAGCTTTTGATGTTTGCTTCCCAAAAGTTATGGTTATTTTTTATTAATATTTATGTTGTTAAAAATTTAGGAAATTGGTTTGCTTTCCCTAAACTTTCAATTTTGCCTCTTTTTATGGATCTAACATGTTCTATCACTTCAGGAGAATAGATTTCCTTCCTCAGCCAACTTTACTGACGTGTCATTTAATACAACATGCACCTAATTAACACTGCCACTAGGTGGAGGTACGTGCTGGGCTCCCTCTGAGGCCATGGTCAGTCTGCCCAGCTGGCCACAGGCCCCTCTGACCTGTCTCCACAGGCCCTTCTTGCCTGTCGTAGAGTCTCGGCCGGCACGCGCCCTCGTGTCTGGCCCCTCCTGCTCAGCATGATGGTTCTGTGACACCCTTGTTGCTGTGTCTGTCAGCAGTCCTTCTGGTCTGTTTCCAGGGGGTGGTCCACCGTGTGGACACACCCCAGTTCCTTGGCTCATTATCTGCTGGTGACACTTGGGATGTTTACATACATACGCACATCGGTTCAGTTCAGTCGCTTAGTCGTGTCCAACTCTGCGACCCCATGAACCGCAGCACACCAGGCCTCCCTGTCCATCACCAACTCCTAGAGTCCACCCAAATCCATGTCCACTGAGTCGGTGATGCCATCCAACCATCTCCTCCTCTGTCGTCCCCTTTTCCTCCTGCCTTCAATCTTTCCCAGCATCAGGGTCTTTTCAGATGAGTCAGCTCTTTGCATCAGATGGCCAAAATATTGGAGCTTCAGCTTCAACGTCAGTCCTTCCAAAGAATACCCAGGAGTGATTTCCTTTAGGATGGACTTAATGCACTTGTAAATGTATAGACTTATCAATACATGTACAATATCAACGTATGTTGCCTCTTTGTAACAAAAAGAAATACAATGTACCCACAGCACTTAGGAGGAAGCTGCCAGAGGGCAGAGGCTGCCCAGCTGCAGGGCTGGCTGCACGCAGGTGCAGTGGTCAGCGCAGTGTTGCTGGAGGAAGCTAAAGCAGAGCCCAGAGCCACACGTCCTTGACGGAGGAGAAAGCAAATCAGCAGAGAAAGAGTGTTGGACAAGTGGCCTTGGGGTAACCAGATCTGATATACTTTGCACAGGAATAAATTCAAAATGGATTATAGACCTAAATGTAAAATAGAGACTAAAATTTATTGGAAGAAAACACAGGAGAGAATCTGGTGATGGGTTTGATGATGGCTTTTTTGTCCATGCCCCGCAGCCTGTGGGACTGTAGTTCCCGGGGACCAATCTGGCGCCCCCTGCAGGGAAGCAGGTGTCTTAGCCACTAGATCTCCAGGGGAGTCCTGATGGCTCTTTAAATAGAATGCCAAAAAGAGGCTCTGTGGACTTGATTAAAATGAAAAACTTATGCTCTACAAAACACACTGCTGAGACAGAAAGAAGACAAGCCGCAGGCTGGGGGACATTCGCCAGACAAGCGCCTGATGGCATGTCTGTCTTCACTGTGCAGAGAGCTCCAGAGCTCCGCACGGGGATTCAGCAGCACAGACGAACCTGGCAGGAGGTCTGGATGGACACCGGCAAGGACATGAGCGCAGGAAAGGATACGCAGCCCTGTGCGTCCGCAGGGAGTGCCGCCTCACACATGCCCCAGCAGCCCCAGCGGGCAGCACCAGGTGCTGGCGATGCCTGGGGCAGCAGGAGCGTCCGTCACAGGATGAAGCAGAAAGCAGCAGCTGTGCACCTTGGTGTTGACCCGGAGGAGCTGAGCACTCACGGCCACAGAACCTGCACTGGGGCGTCAGAGCAGCTTCGTTTGGAAGCACCGAACTTGGAAGCCCCCAAAATGTCCTTGGTGGCTGAATGGGTGGACAGTGGACTGCATTCATTCATACAGTGGAATATTATTAAGCAGTAAAAAGAAATGAGCTGCCAAGCCATGGAGACAGAGATGAAGCTTAAATGCCTATTGTTGAGTGAAAGAAGCCCATCTGGAAGGCTGCATACCATGTGAGCCCATCGCTGTGGCATCTGGACACGGCAGAGCTGTGAGGGGAGAGAGGAGTGGTTTCCTGGGACAGAGGAGTGTGAAGAGGTGGAGTATGGGAATTTTTGGAGCATTGAAACTGTCGGGTTGATGTCGTAATGGTGAATACAGGACTGAACAACACCAACCTAAGTGTGCAGCTTTTAAAGACTATTTAGCAGGCGGAGGACCCCAGGCAGGAATGCGGCGTGAAAGGAGGAGCCCCTGCCTTAGCGTGAGCACGGAGCCTCAGGGAGGGGCCGGGGGCAGGCGCTGACCGCAGTCACCTGAGAAAATTAAACGCTCAGGTGTAAATTTAAAAAAAAAGTGTACAGGATCCACATAAGAAAAACTACAAAATTTTGAGGACTGAAATCAAAGATCTAAATCAGGGGACCCATAGTCCATGTTCGCTGATAGGATCTCAGTATTGGTGAGGTGTCATTTCTTCTTGACCTATAGATTCAGTGAGATCCCAACCAAATCCCAGTAAGTTACCTTGTAGACATGAGTGGGGTCTGCAAGCGTGAAAGCCCGGGATGTGTACAGAGCACTGTGCCCTGGGGGTGAAGCTGGTTCCCACGGGTGCGGGTTAGCAGCAGGGACCCGCACAGGTGGCAGGTGGGGGCCGAGAGCCTCAGTGCTGGGGGGGAGGTCGTAGGCGACCGAGGGGTGAGCGACCGTGGATAAGAGATGCTGCTGGGGCATCAGTGAGGACTCAGGTGCAGTGCAATGTGGAGCCAGGTTACACACAGGAGTATTTGTAGTGTGCGTGTGTGCAAGGTTGACACACACACATCTTGTTGTTCTGTTGGCCAAGAGGGTCTGAAGGGAAGGAGCACATGGCCGCCCAGATCTTGGTTCCTAAGACCATTCATTCTCCAGTAAAGGAACCAGACTCCCTGGAGAAATGGCCAATTCTAGGGCTGGGACAGGGAGCCCCCAAGATGGGCCTGGGGTATCTTCCAGCACCAAAAGGGAGGGAATGCTTAAAAAAAAAACCCACAAAGATAGGGTATGTCAAAGAGATACAGCAGCTAAATGAAAGCTCCCAGCAGCCAACGCTGGAACAGTTTGAGCAAAGAAATCATTCAAGTGCTGAATTGTAACCCAAGTGTAATGTAGACACCCTCGAGTCCATGCTGATGTCAGAGGCGAGTCAGGACATGTATCTCCTGCACAGAAGGGTTCCTGTCGGGCTGTGGAGCTGCTCCCCACCCCCATGCAGGGGCCTCCCGAGGGCGAGGGGGACACCGGACAGGCACCCTGCAGGGGTCCAGTCGGCACCAGTGGTCCGGGTGGTGTCCATGTTGATGCGATGGGAAGATGATCTTAACATCTGTAGTCTCACTTCCAAAAACCCTGTAACCCTGGTCTAATCATGAACAGCGACAGCCTTCATTCAGCGGCGCCCACGAAACACCTGCCCGGTCCTCCTCAGAGCTGCGCAGCTCGCCAAAACGGGGCCGTCCAGGAGCCCGCCAGAGCCCAGAGGAGCCTGAGGACACAGGGCCCGGTGGGGCCTGGGTGGGGGCCTGGAGCAGGAAAAGGACATTGGTTTGAAAGCTGTGGAGATCTGGAAAAAAGAAACACTGTGGACCTGAGTTCTTGTGTCTGTATTGGTTCATGGTGACGGGCCCCAAACCGATGGATGTGGGAAATCCTGCACTGTCTGTAACTTTTCTGTTCTGAAATTAAAAGATTATTTTAAAATGTAATTTATCTGCTTTCCTCTAAAAGTGCTTCTGGACTTCCGGTTTCCCTAGGGATGGCCGAAAGAGTTTCCCGCAACCTGGGATTCTCATCTGGGGTGTGAGGATAGACTGTTGGAATGTCCTTCTTTACCGATTTCCATAATTTAATAAGACGAGATCAGCCCCGGGTCCGTCTCGCCTGTGATGGGCTAATGAAAACTGAAGGTCTTCAAATGTCATGTTTGCGAATACAGATTATATTCAGCAGAAATTGGGAGTCATTAATGTGTTTTTTTTTTTTTTCTTTTTTATGGAACGCTTCACGAATTTGCGTGTCATCCTTGTGCAGGGGCCATGCTAATCTTGTCTGTATCGTTCCAATTCCAGTATATGTGCTGCCGAAGCGAGCACTAATGTGTTTTTTTAATCCCAAGAACATAACAGTCTGTACACACATTTTTTGGAAATCTTAAATGTAAGAAAATATAATTAAAAATCACTCTAAAATCAAAAGTAAAATTATTCTTTGGGGATTTGTTTTAAAAAAAAAAAAACAGTGAAAAGCAAAGTGTAGTGAAGGTACTAAAGCTACTTAAAATCTCTTAATGTACTTGAAATTTTTTTCTGTTAAAAGCTGTTGCTGTTTTATGTGACTTCCTGATTTTCAGTAAAATGTGCATATAATAACAATAAACTGTATTCTGTGTGGAAAAAAAAAAAAAAGTGCTTCTGGTGGACAGGTTTTCCCAGGTAGTCTCCGGGTGGGAGGGCGTCTCAGCCCTTTCGCTGGGCTGCGAAGCGTGGCCGCCGCCCCGGGCGGCTCTGTGTGCGCTCCCCGAAGCCAGTCTGCGCCGACCGCCAGGGCTGGGGCCGGGACTCGGGGTCCTCAGGCCTGCTCCCAGGCCACATGGGATAGCCACGGCCTGGAGCGCAAGACGGGGACTGGCTCCTGTGGCGGGCAGGGTGCCGTGTGTGTCTGCGTGGCTTTTGCTGTCTCCTGCTGGGCTCCTGCTCGGCCTGGATACGCAGCCCTGGGGTGAAAGAGCCACCAGGGGCCTGCCTGCTGGAGCAGGAAGCCCTGGGATCCTGATAGCATCTTTCCTTCTAGGGCTTTATGAACCCTGGACCATCATGTGTGGACTTAGAGGGGTTTTTTGTTTGTTTGTGGTGTGTGCCTTCGACATGCAGCCTGCTTTAGTGGTGTAGCGCTTGATGGTACACAGAAGCCAGCCTGGGGCCAGGGCCTTCTCCGGGGGTGGTGCTGCCTCTGGGGGCCATGCAGGCCAGGGTGGCGGTGCTAAGCCACCAGCTTCACCACGGCTAAGCCTCAGCTCTGCCCCACTGGGGGTCGGAGCGGTCCCCACCGTGGGCGCCCCAGCCTCCCACCTCCTGCCTGGGAGGAGCCGACCCACAGCTTCACGCTTCCGCACACTGAGGGCTGTTTGTTCTTTATTTGCAGAGGTATTGTGGCCAGTATTTTGGTTTTCTTATGTTTTGGAGTCACACAAGCTAAAGACGGGCCATTTTCCAGACCTCATCCAGGTAACTTGCCATTTCTTTCTCCGTGTGTGCCGAGTGCTGGTGCTGTTCTGAGGGTCTCGTAGTGTCTGTGCTGCTGCGTGTGAGTGTCCTGCCCCGCCCCATCCGGCCTGCACACGTCAGCGAGGAGGGTGGGCGAGACCGGCTTTGCTGGAGTCAGGAAGCCCGCCTTCTCTGGGCTGCTCGCCCTCTTCCGTGTGTCCCCCACCCCGTCCCCGCTCTGGGCCCTCCTGTCCCATTGCTGCCCACCCTGTGCTAGTCAGGGAAGTCTTCCTGGGGGCGGAGGGGCCCTGGGGCCACACAGGGCACTTGGCATGGCTCAGCTCTCCGCTGCAGGGCCCCCCCCCAACCTTGCTGTTCACGGTGGGGGGTCTCTGGGCGCCGTATGCAACCAGCTCTCCTGTCTCCACCATCCCGCCTCCATCCCAGGGTCATACTTTTAGATGGAAATAAAACCCACTCATGAAAGTAACCACCGTTAAGTTTTAGTGTGTTTGTATACATGTATACATACACAGCTGTAAAAAAAGTTAGCAGTGGACTGCACTTGTGTTCTGTGTCATCACTCTTCACTTCAGGCTTCACACAAGCACATCCTTGTGAACATTTTGAGAACTGGAGTTTTGGTGGCTTCAGTCCTCATCTGAATGTACTACATGCACGAATCCCATCCTAGAATGATGTGTTGCTTGGGGGTTTCCAGTTCCGTGGTGATAAACTAGGCTGTGGTGAATTTCCATGTGTGCACACGGGTGCCCCATCCGATTACCTGTGGAAGCGGCAGATCAAGGGTCCGTGTTGGGTGTTGCCCAGCTTTGTTCCAGAAGGGAGGGCTCGGGGGTCACGTGCCAGGGGCTCTGAGCCGGGGTCTCACTGGCCGCTTGGCCGCTCGAGACGTTGGTGTGGGTGAAGCCTGTGTGGCCCCTGCCTGGGGCGTGGGGCGCTGTGATTGTCCTGGCCTCCCTCACTTGGGCTGCAGGACCGCCTGCACTGGTTTGGGCCTGTCCAGGGAGGGTGTGGTCTCCTCACCAGAGTCAGGGAGGAGTGAGCTCGAGTGTCAGAAACCAGAGCCAGTGAGAAACCAGGTTCAGTGCTTGTCAGATGGACGTGGGAGGGAGAACACGAGTGCTCGAGGCTCTTTCGGGACCCGTTCATGGTGGGGGCAGCAAGGCCACGTGGGCGCCAGGGCCTGGTGAAGTCGCTGGGGGGCAGGACAGGTGGGGCCCGCCCGGTTGGCCCAGCAGGACTTTGTCTTGTGGTTGAGCCCGACTGCGGCTCTGGGCCAGGTGGGCCCGGCCAGCCTCCCCTCCATGGTGTCTGAGTCTGTGTTCCGACCGTGGCCTTGCCCTTCTTTAGTTGCTGTACGTAAACCTTCTCTGCCAGCCTCAGTTAGTCACCACGGTGCCTGTCCAGGACCACCTGCCAGATGTCTTGTTCCCCTGGTGCTCGGTGGGAAGTCCTCAAATCCTGAAATCAGGTTGCCTCTGCAGGCCGGAGGACAGCGTAAGGATATGTTTCGTGGTCTCCACCACCCCCCCTGCCCCGCCCTCCTGGGCCTGGCTCAGGTTGCTCCTGGGGGAGCAGACATGGGGCTCCAGGCCCACCAGTCTGGGGAGCCGATTTATTTGGAAATTGGAATTGGGTCTGGCCTGTTAAAAAGGCCCCCTTCCTTCCATGATTTTTATTTTTATTTGTGGCTGTCTCTGAAAGCTGGAGTAAGTAGGCACGTTGTCAGTGCTGTTGAGGTGGCCAGTGTTGATGTTTAGGAAGAAAAGTGCTCAGCTGGGGAGTGGGGCAGACAGACCCAGGGAACCAGCTTCAGGAGCTTCTGGGTGGTTCAGGGAGCGCAGGGCGGTGCTGGGGGGTCCTGTGGTGACCCTCGCAGGGGGATGGACAAGGGCCTCTGGGGACTGGGGGTGGGGGGCCTTTCTGACCCACGTGCATGTGGACAAGGCGGGACAGAGCTGCCCTCATAGGCAGCGGCCGGTCACCAACCACGGCTGTGTTCCCCGCATCCCCCACCACAGCCCTGGAGCTGCTGCTGGAGCCTGGAACCAGGGAGAATTTTCCAGGTGTCCCCGTCTTCAAGAGCATGAAGAATGCTTGTCACTTCAGCTGTTTACTTCCCGAGTACATAGCCAATTTTCCCAAGAATTCACCAGCCTGTGTTTTCTGCCTGTGCGAGACTGGGTGCTCACAGATCTCCTGGCAAACAGATTTGGGGCTGGCTCCAAGGCGCCGGGCCACCCCAGGGCCCAGTGTGTGCACAGCTGAGTCCAGGCGGCTGCCAAGGGACGCAAACCTAGCAGGCGAGCGCCGCACACGCCCCGCCCACCTGCCGCACGGCCTGGCCCGTATCCCAATGAAGCTCAGGGTGGGAGGGCATGTACCATGGTCATGGGTGACCTGGACTAGCTGTGGAATAACCGTGGCCAAGTGTGTGTGCACAGCTTGTTTTTTAATTAGCTGTTAAAAGTAGCCTGGTGGTGGGCTTTTTTTTCCCCACAGACATAAGCATAGGGAAAGCAGGTATCGTAGGCCTTATTAAACAGGTTTATGAAGATTCTTGGAGCAGCTCTAGACCTTCCCTTTCCCACTGTCTCATCTGCCAGGGAAGGTTGAGTTGAGAGAGTGGAAGGCGGGTGGTGAGGGAGAGAACCAGCTAACAGAAGGGCTGCTTCTTCCAGCTTTGTTGGGATGTAATTGACACATGACATGAACTTAAGGGTTCTGAGTGATGACTTCATGCACATATTGCAGAATGGTTACTGCAGTATGGCTAGTTAGCACCTCTGCCACCTCGTGCAACCTCAGCTGTTTTTACGGTGAGAACACTTAAGATGGACTCAGCAACCTTGAAGCACATAATGCACATGCCACGTGTCGCCACGGGACAGGTGTGCTGACCGCAACTCAGGGCAGTTTCCTAAAGCAAGTCGTCATCCCAGGAATTCGGGACCACGTAATGTTAGAAAATGTGTTAACATCACTCATCACACTAACACTGAAGGTAAAAAATGGATTCCCATGAATGCAGAAGAATAGGTTTTCATATTCATTCATGATAGAACCGATTCGACAGCACTCTGGGATTAAGAGACTTTCTTAAACTTGACAAAAAGTCTCTACCAAAACCCTGCAGACCTACTTAGTGATGAAGGTTAGGAGTGTCCCCAGTGGACACAAGACAAGGACCTTTGCTTGTGTCCAGTGGTTTGCGGGCCTTCTCTGCTGCGGCAGTGAGACAAAAAGAAATGGAAGATTAGGGACAGGAATGGAAGAAAAGGAAGGAAAAGCATACCGGAGAGAAACTGTGTGCTCACCCCTGGGTTAGAGCTCGCTTCTGAAGTCTCTGCGAGGAGCCCGAGAAGGGCCTGGAGCAGGGCCCATTCATGTTGGGTGTTCAGGAGCCACGTGGGGGTCTGGGGAGCCCCGGAGCAGGCACCCCTAACCCTGTGTTCTGTCTCTGCAGCTTACTGGAGATTTTGGCTCTGCGTTAGTGTGGTCTACGAGCTGTTTCTCATCTTTATACTCTTCCAGGTAAGCGGTTTTTCTTGGTTACATGAATGGGGGCGGTTCAGGTGGGTGTGAGGTGGCAGAGAAGGCTCTGGCAGCAGACATGGGACGCTGAGCATCGGCGGTGGGCCGGGCCAGTCGCCATGGCCTCACTTCTGGTCTGTGGACGACCATGGCTGCGTGTGCGTTTGTCTCTTCTGGCATGTATTTGGCAAGGTGGTCAGTGGGAGGAGGTTAGAAACTCGTCTCCTTAGGAAATCTTGGATCCGGATTTGTTGCCGCCGCCATCTGTCTGATAACACTCCTTGCTCTGCTGGGTTAAGCGAGTGTGCCTTTGAGGGTGGACTTCAGCATTCAGTCTCGGAACCGTCAGCAGCGGCTGAGCGAGTTATCATCGCGTGGGAAAGTCTGCCTTTAGGGAAGGTGTGCAGGGCCGGGGACCGTGACGCTGTGTGTGTGTGTGTGCATGCCAGAGTCGGCCTGGCCCCGCGGTCCTGCCCTGCAGCACAGTCTGTTCCCCGCACCCCTGCCATTTGTCTCGGACACTCGTGTGAGTGGAGCCGCGTGGCCTTCGCGGCCCTGAAGCTCGCCCGGCTGCCTGCCAGCATCCGCTCCCCTGCCGTGGAAGGTGTTTCTGGTGGAGGCACCGCCATCTGTCTGTCCCTCCAGCAGTGTGCGTCTGGCGTGGGGCGGGTGTGAGAGGAGCCTCCGGCACAGGCTCTGGTGTGACCTAACCCCGGGAGTGCTCCTGCGTCGAGGCGGGTCAGCCCGGTGGCCAGGGCCCTCACAGCTCTTGACGTCATCAGGATCTTTTATTTTAGCCAGTGTCTTTTCATGGGTTTCACTGCATTTCTAGAATGGCTCATGATGTTTACCAACTTCTCCTGCATTTATGACCCAGGAAACAAACATCCTCTTTGGTGAAGCGTTTATTTTTGCCCTTTTTAGAAATCTGGCAGTTTGTTACTGTAGTGTTAACGATTTTTATGCTGTCCTGGCACAAGGCCCTCTGCCGGCTGTGGCTTGCACGTTCCTTCTCCAAGGCTGCAGCTGGGCCTTCTTTTAACAGTGGTGGGCCTTGTGTCTTCTCTTTTTTTGCTTTTCATGTCATGTGTAAGACTTCTTTGTCCAAGACCAATTTATTAAGATGTTCTCCCATGTTTTCTGTTAAAACCATCATGGTTTTATATTTTACACCGAGATTGTTTACTCATGTTGAGTTTCTTTTTACATTTTGTTTTGGAATAATTAGATTCACAGGAAGTTGTGAAAAAATTGTACAGGTAGGTTCTGTGTTCTTTTACCTGGTCCCTCAATGTTTTGCATAAAAATAAGATAGCATGTGTACCTGAAATTAACACAGTATTGTAAGTCAGCTATTGTTCAGTCAGTGTGTTGTGTCTGACTCTTTGTGACCTCATGGTCTGCAGCACAACAGGCTCCTCTGTCCTTTACTGTCTTCCGGAGTAAATTCATGTCCAGTGAGTCAGTGATGCCATCTAACCTCATCCTCTGCCACTCCCTTCTCCTTCCTTCAGTCTTTCCCAGCATCAGGGTCTCTTCCATGAGTCAGCTCTTCACATCAGATGGCCAAAGTACTGGAACTTCAGCTTCAGCCTCAGTCCTTTCATGAATATTCAGGGTTGATTTCCTTTAGGATGGGTGGTTGGATCTCCTTGCATCCAAGGGATGCTCAGGAGTCTTCTCCAGCACCAAGTTCAAAGGCATCAATTCTTCGACTCTGTGTCTTTTTTATTGTCCAGCTCTCACATCCATACATGACTACTAGAAAAACCATAGCTTTGACTAGACTTACTTTTGTCGGCAAAGTAATATCTCTGCTTTTTAACATGGTGTCTAGGTTTGTCATTGCTTTGCTTCCAAGGAGCAAGCGTCTTTTAATTTCATGGCTGCAGTGATTTTGGAGCCCAGGAAAATAAAGTCTGTCACTGCTTCCACTTTTTCCCCTGCTATTTGCCATGAAGTGATGGGACCGGAGGGGCTTCCCTGGTGGCTCAGCAGTGGGATGCAGAAGGCGTTCGAGGCCTTGGGCTTGAGCCCTGGGTCAGGAAGATCCCCTGGAAGAGGGCATGGCAATCCACCCAGTATTCCAGGCAGTATTCTTGCCTGGAGAATCCTGTGGACAGAGGAGCGTGGAGGGCTACAGTCTGTAGGGTTGAAAAGAGTTGGACATAAGTGACTGAGCACGCACGCTTGATGAGACCGGATGCCATGATCTTAGTTTTTTTAATGTTGCGTTTTAAGCCAGCTTTTTCACTCTCCTCTTTCACTGGCAGCAAGAGGCTCTTTAGTTTCTCTCCACTTTCAGTCCATCTGTGTTGCAGCCTGTGTCAGGGTTTCTTTCCTTTTTAAGGCTGAGCAGCATACCGTGGTGTGTTTATACCATGTTTGTGTGTTCACTTATGATGAGTGGGCACTCAGGTTGCCTCCACTTTTGGCGACTGTGTGTAATGCTGCTGTGAATGTGGGTGCGTGAGTGTCTGTTCAGCCCTGCTTTCCCTTCCTCTGAGGACCCGCCTGGAAGCGGGACTGCTGAGGAATCCTGGTTAACCTCTAGAGGAGCTGCCGGACGCGCTCCACGGCGGCTCTGCCCACATTACAGCCCCACCAGCCATGCACAGCTTCCAGTTTCTCCACGTTCCCCCAGCTCTTGGTGTAAAGTGGTGACGTGTCTCCTGTGGTTTGATTGCTCGTGACGCTGAGCATCTCTACACGGCGTTTGTGGACATCAGTATGTCTTGGGGAGACCAGTTTTTGTTCTGGTTGATTTTTATTAATGGTCCCTATTTTGTTCTATTCATTTAAAAGACACTTTATTTTAAAGCAGACTTAGAGGATTGTGAGGTTGGTGCGGAGAGGTTGATTTCATTAGTCCTTCACCAAGTTTCTCCTGTTATGAACATCTTACACTAATGTGAATCGTCTGTTACAATTAGTCATTGTTAAGTAAAACCCGCCCCTTCTCTCAGTTTATCCTCTTCTCTGCAGCACAAGATTCTCCCCTTAGGCGGGTCTTTGATTTCTCCCGGCAGTGCTCTGTGGTTTTCAGAGTGTATCGCTAAGTGTCACTCCTCCTGACGCTGTCCTCAGTGAGCTTATCTTGGCTTCGCGTTGCTCTGCTGGTCCTGGCTCTGGAAATGCAGCCTATTTGCTCTGTGCTGTCAGTGCACCTGACTCATTCATTCTTACAGCTCTGCTGCTGTGCAGGGGCTTCTGAAGGGGTCTCTGCAGGAAAACAGGGTTTCACGTCATCCTCGCCAACCTGTGTCTGTTTGTCCATCTCTGGCCTCACTGCCCCAGCACCAGCCTTCTCACCCCCAACTTCTCAGTAGGGAGCCCTTACCAGATGCCCTTTATCAGTGGAGGAAGTTCCACTCTTCCTAATTTGTTGAGTGTTTTTATCATGAGAGGCTGTTGAATTTTATTGGTTTGATGCTTTTTTTTGCATCAGATGACATGATCATGTGGGTTTTTCCCTTTATTAATGTGATGTGTTAATTCATTTCCTCATTTTGAACCAGCTCAGCACTCCTGGGATAAATTCACTTGGTCATGGGGTATGGTCCTGTGTATATGCTGCTGAATTTACTTACCCAGTATTCTGCAGACGATTTTTGCGACTGTTTTCGTAAGAGACACTGTCTGTAATTGGCCTAGAATGTGTTTTTCTGGCTTTGCTCTCAGGGTTGCAGGGGGTGTGTCTGGTGTTCCTTTTAGGATTTGACACACGATCCTGATCCTGACCCCTGACCGCTGGTGATAATCCAGATCCCTGGCAGGCGTGTTTGTCAGGTTCCCCTGCCCCTTGCCCTGAGGAGGGAGGCCCCTCACAGGAGCGGGAGCAGCTCCACAGCCCAGCGGGAAGCCTGTGGGGAGTGAGGGTGTCTTCTCCCCAACTCGTTTCTGACATCAGTGCCTCCTCACAGTTATCTACGTTATCCTCTGGGTTATAAGTCAGAATTTGATCCATTGCTCAAATTGTTCCAGTTTTGGCTGCCAGGGGCTTTCACATGCCCCATCTTTGTGGGTTCCTGGTGTTTTGTTTCATGTTTCTGAGCACCTTCCTCCTTTTGGCGCTGGAAGACACCCCCACCCAGGCCCATCCTGACGCCCCCTGCCCCAGCCCTGGAGTCAACAATTTCTCCAGGGAGCCTGGTTTCTTTAGAATGGCCTTAGGAACCAAGATCTGGGCCCTGTCAATCAGCAGCGTGGAGCCATGTGGGTCCTGGCTTTTGTGTGCAGATTTCCTGCCTGGCTCCTGCCCTGTCCCACAGGGTCCAGGGGTCAGTCGGCCTCCTCGGCCTTTGCTGGAGTGGAGGTTCCTGGTCTGGCCTCTGGGCTTGGTTGACGAGCCCAAGGCTGGGACGACAGCCGACTTCCTCCAATGCCCTGAGACAGACTTGTTACACTTGTGCTGCTCACTTCTGAGGCGTGAGTGTCCAGGGCTCTGAGCCCCGCTGTCCTGGCACCAGAGTCCAGGGGCCATCCTGACTCAGGACGCAGTGCTGACAGGCGCTGCCCTGCTTCCTGGCCCAAAGATCCCATATTCCCAGAGCATGTCTGGGGACATTTCAGTTGTTCATGGCTTCACCTCAGTCGGGTGACAAGATGCAGGTCTGGGCATCATCTGTCCACACACCACAGACCACATCTGCTCACCCACCTGGAGCCTCCTCCCTGTGTGCCCCTTGGCTGGTACTCGGGGTCCTGATGACGGGGGTCTGGGGCCCCAGCTGGTGGCCAGAGGGGGTAGAGGGAGGAACAGGGCTCTCTTGCTGGGGATCCTCCCCCACTGGGGGTGACACCCAAAGTCTCTGTGCTGGGTCTAGAGGCATGTTTGGCTGACGTTGGCACCTTCGTGTCAGGAGAGGCTGCCTAGGCACCGTGTGAAGAAGTGCATCCCACGATGCCGTTCCTCTCTGTGGGGTCTGGACTCCGAACAGACTAGGGTAGGGGAGGGGGAGATGGTGATCTGAGCCTCTCCATGGGAGGCACACCTGTGACCCCATGGGGGCATGGGGACACCCCCGGACCTGAGACACCCCCATTCTGCCTGGCCCCAAGTGGGGCCACACTGAGACAGGTGCTTCCCCTCCTGGTCGGTGGGCGCTGTCTGCACACTGCAAACCCGCCCTGTTGACACGGGCACTGCCCTTGCAGACCGTCCAGGACGGCCGCCAGTTTCTGAAGTACGTGGACCCCAGGTTGGGGGTCCCGCTGCCAGAGAGGGACTATGGGGGAAACTGCCTCATCTACGATGCGGACAACAAGACCGATCCCTTCCACAACGTCTGGGTGAGTGCCCAGGAGAGGTCACCTGACTGGCCTCAAGCTATGGGGGCTCCTCCTGGCAAGGCTGTACCACATCCTGGGCGTGGCGCTTGGCGGATTATTGAACAGGCTTCTAGGAGCTGCCCCAGGTGTGGGTGTTTCTGGAACCTGAGTCATTCTGCAGACTGGAGGGGGCGGGGGACCCGGGGGCTGAGCAGCTCCATGTGAGGGTGCCCTCTGGTAGTGGCAGGGTCCCCTCCTAAGCTCACACTGGGGGACCAAGCACGAGGCCTGTATCTGCCCCCACAGGACAAGCTGGACGGCTTCGTGCCTGCACACTTCATCGGCTGGTATTTAAAGGTAGGTACCTCCTTGTTGGACAGGACACCTGGTTTCAGGCCCACCCTGAGCTCTGGGTGGTTTTCCAGCCGTGCGGTGGGCGGGGCCCACAGTGCTGGATAGGCAGGCTGCTGGGCTTGGGGTCCCAACCCGACCTCATGTGTCCTGGGCATTGCAGTGGCCAGCAGAGAGCACAGGAGACTGACCCACGGAGGCCCCCAGTCCCTGGGTGGGACAAGCCCGTAGCTAATCGCACGCACCCCTAGGTTGGGACACCCCTGAGAGTTGCCTCAGCGTCCTGAATCGGGGCAGCTGGAGTGGAAGCTGGGCAGCTTCCTGCCTCTGTGTCACCTGAGGAATGTGGGGAGGGGAGGCGAGGGGCGGGCTGTCCCTGGGGGCCCCGCTGCGGAGAGCTGATGCCCCGGCTCGGCCACAGACCCTGATGATCCGCGACTGGTGGATGTGCACGATCGTGAGCGTGATGTTCGAGTTCCTAGAGTACAGCCTGGAGCACCAGCTGCCCAACTTCAGCGAGTGCTGGTGGGACCACGTAGGTGCCCCCAGGCCTGCCACAAGCCCGGGCCCCCACCCCGCCGGCCACACCCTGGGGGGAGGAGGGCAGCTCCGGGCCCCTCCCGGCAGGGCCGTTGGTGCTGGGGGCCCGTGGCTCCACCTCCCACCTGGCTCCCATCCCCAGTGGATCATGGACGTGCTCGTCTGCAACGGGCTGGGCATCTACTGTGGCATGAAGACACTTGAGTGGTTGTCCTTGAAGACATATAAGTGGCAGGGCCTCTGGAACATTCCAACCTACAAGTACGTCTCTAGAGCTGCTGATCTGGTGGGCCTGGACCCTGGTGTGGGCCCTGGGGGGCCACAGGCAAGGATGTTGCCTCCTGTGAACTCCACCTGGGATGTGACTCTGGGCATTGCTCTTACGGCGATCAGGACGTCAGTCCATCCTGGCCACCCAGCTGCTTGTCCTCCCAGCCCTTCTGGGGTCACCCCTCCCGGGCTGCCTCCCCTTGTGAAGAAGTAGAGCTGTCCAGGAAAAAGCCTGGGGCGGGCGGGGAGGCGGGTGTTCCCCGAGCGCACCGCCCTAGCTAACGGGCGCTGATTCCAGGGGCAAGATGAAGAGGATCGTGTTCCAGTTCACGCCCTACAGCTGGGTCCGCTTCGAGTGGAAGCCGGCCTCCAGCCTGCGCCGCTGGCTGGCCGTGTGCGGCATCATCCTGGTGGTAAGGCTGGCGAAGCTGGGCTTCCCGTGCACCGCAGCCCGGGCTCCCCGCCACCCTCCTCTGCCCCCAGTTTCTGTTGGCAGAGCTGAACACCTTCTACCTGAAGTTCGTGCTGTGGAAGACTAGGGTAGGGGAGGGGGAGATGGTGATCTGAGCCTCTCCATGGGAGGCACACCTGTGACCCCATGGGGGCATGGGGACACCCCCGGACCTGAGACACCCCCATTCTGCCTGGCCCCAAGTGGGGCCACACTGAGACAGGTGCTTCCCCTCCTGGTCGGTGGGCGCTGTCTGCACACTGCAAACCCGCCCTGTTGACACGGGCACTGCCCTTGCAGACCGTCCAGGACGGCCGCCAGTTTCTGAAGTACGTGGACCCCAGGTTGGGGGTCCCGCTGCCAGAGAGGGACTATGGGGGAAACTGCCTCATCTACGATGCGGACAACAAGACCGATCCCTTCCACAACGTCTGGGTGAGTGCCCAGGAGAGGTCACCTGACTGGCCTCAAGCTATGGGGGCTCCTCCTGGCAAGGCTGTACCACATCCTGGGCGTGGCGCTTGGCGGATTATTGAACAGGCTTCTAGGAGCTGCCCCAGGTGTGGGTGTTTCTGGAACCTGAGTCATTCTGCAGACTGGAGGGGGCGGGGGACCCGGGGGCTGAGCAGCTCCATGTGAGGGTGCCCTCTGGTAGTGGCAGGGTCCCCTCCTAAGCTCACACTGGGGGACCAAGCACGAGGCCTGTATCTGCCCCCACAGGACAAGCTGGACGGCTTCGTGCCTGCACACTTCATCGGCTGGTATTTAAAGGTAGGTACCTCCTTGTTGGACAGGACACCTGGTTTCAGGCCCACCCTGAGCTCTGGGTGGTTTTCCAGCCGTGCGGTGGGCGGGGCCCACAGTGCTGGATAGGCAGGCTGCTGGGCTTGGGGTCCCAACCCCACCTCATGTGTCCTGGGCATTGCAGTGGCCAGCAGAGAGCACAGGAGACTGACCCACGGAGGCCCCCAGTCCCTGGGTGGGACAAGCCCGTAGCTAATCGCACGCACCCCTAGGTTGGGACACCCCTGAGAGTTGCCTCAGCGTCCTGAATCGGGGCAGCTGGAGTGGAAGCTGGGCAGCTTCCTGCCTCTGTGTCACCTGAGGAATGTGGGGAGGGGAGGCGAGGGGCGGGATGTCCCTGGGGGCCCCGCTGCGGAGAGCTGATGCCCCGGCTCGGCCACAGACCCTGATGATCCGCGACTGGTGGATGTGCACGATCGTGAGCGTGATGTTCGAGTTCCTAGAGTACAGCCTGGAGCACCAGCTTCCCAACTTCAGCGAGTGCTGGTGGGACCACGTAGGTGCCCCCAGGCCTGCCACAAGCCCGGGCCCCCACCCCGCCGGCCACACCCTGGGGGGAGGAGGGCAGCTCCGGGCCCCTCCCGGCAGGGCCGTTGGTGCTGGGGGCCCGTGGCTCCACCTCCCACCTGGCTCCCATCCCCAGTGGATCATGGACGTGCTCGTCTGCAACGGGCTGGGCATCTACTGTGGCATGAAGACACTTGAGTGGTTGTCCTTGAAGACATATAAGTGGCAGGGCCTCTGGAACATTCCAACCTACAAGTACGTCTCTAGAGCTGCTGATCTGGTGGGCCTGGACCCTGGTGTGGGCCCTGGGGGGCCACAGGCAAGGATGTTGCCTCCTGTGAACTCCACCTGGGATGTGACTCTGGGCATTGCTCTTACGGCGATCAGGACGTCAGTCCATCCTGGCCACCCAGCTGCTTGTCCTCCCAGCCCTTCTGGGGTCACCCCTCCCGGGCTGCCTCCCCTTGTGAAGAAGTAGAGCTGTCCAGGAAAAAGCCTGGGGCGGGCGGGGAGGCGGGTGTTCCCCGAGCGCACCGCCCTAGCTAACGGGCGCTGATTCCAGGGGCAAGATGAAGAGGATCGTGTTCCAGTTCACGCCCTACAGCTGGGTCCGCTTCGAGTGGAAGCCGGCCTCCAGCCTGCGCCGCTGGCTGGCCGTGTGCGGCATCATCCTGGTGGTAAGGCTGGCGAAGCTGGGCTTCCCGTGCACCGCAGCCCGGGCTCCCCGCCACCCTCCTCTGCCCCCAGTTTCTGTTGGCAGAGCTGAACACCTTCTACCTGAAGTTCGTGCTGTGGTTGCCCCCTGAGCACTACCTGGTCCTCCTGCGACTCGTCTTCTTCGTCAACGTGGGCGGCGTGGCCATGCGGGAGATCTACGACTTCATGGACGACCCGTAAGGGCCGCGTGGGGGCGGGGCGGGGGCGGGGCCTTGAGGGCGGGGCTTCCCTCGGCCTCGGCGCAGCCCCACCTCTGTCCGCAGGAAGCTGCACAAGAAGCTGGGCCAGCAGGCCTGGCTGGTGGCTGCCATCACCGTCACGGAGCTGCTGATCGTGGTGAAGTACGACCCGCACACGCTGACGCTGTCCCTGCCCTTTTACATCGCCCAGTGCTGGACGCTTGGCTCCGTGCTCGCCCTCACTTGGACCGTCTGGCGCTTCTTCCTGCGGTGAGCGCCGCGGCCCCGGGTGTCCTGCCTGCCGCCCCAGGCCCTGAGCTCCTCTGCGGAGCGGGGTCCAGGGAGCCCCGCGGGCTGGCCTGTGGTGACGCACCCCTGCTATCCGCAGGGACATCACCCTGAGATACAAGGAGACACGGCGGCAGAAGCAGCAGAGCAAGGACGACCAGGGCAGGGCGGACGGCAGCGTGGATGGGCGCACACCTGGCCCCGATGACGCCTTGGGGCCCGAGGAGGCCGACAGAGAAGGGGTGCCGGCCCCACACTGACGCCTGGGCCCTCGGTCCTTGGTGATTCTCGCCATGAACCTTCCGACAGCCTCAGCCCTCAAGGTTCCGTTTCCCTTTTCTCCCGTGTGTACGGTGGCACTGGGCTCGTCGTGTGTGTGCGGTGTGTATGTGTGTGTGCACGCACCTGTATGAGTGCTTGAGCGTGTGCTCCTGGCTCCAGGGCTCCCCCCCCACCCCGGGCCCGCCGGTCCCTGTGGAGCCAGAGCCCCTGCCCCTCTGTGCAGTCAGTCTGGGATCTCCACGACCCCGAGCTTCAGGACCCAGGTGGTATGGCCCAAGCAGTGGCATCGTGGTACCCGCCTGCTCCCTGGACCCCACGGGTTCCCCACGACCCCCTGGCGGCCTGTGTGAAGCATAGTCGTCCAGGGACACCCTGAAGAGGCTGAGGGAGGGCACATTCCATTCCTCAGGATCTTCCATCTGACCCTCTAACCTGGAGGGTGCGTGGATGGTGCTGGAGGCAGAGAGACCCAAGGCCTGGCCCCCACTGTCACGAGAGTAGGTCATGAGGGTCTCTGTGGCCCAGAGTTGAGGTCAACTCCACGAGCAAACAGCAAATAAAAGCCATGGTGGAGGCCTGCAGTTCCACGTCTCCTCGCTGCCCCTCAGCCCTGCCCCGCCCCGCACCCCTGGACACAAGTCCTGGCAGACTCTGGTGAGACGTGGGTAGTGCTGGCACCCCCAGAGGTCGGTGGACTGTCTCAGGCTTCACACACACAGATGAAGAGAAGCAAGGACACTCCCGACATTCCCGGGGCAGCACAGGCCCTGCTCTTGGAGCACCACTGCTTCAAAGCTCTTTTCCTTGGTTATTTTTGGCCTGTTAACTACTTTTGGGGAGAATTTCAAACCTAGAGTGAAGGATCGACCTCACACCTATGCCCACCCCTGCGCTTGTGCATTGAGCTGTTGAGCTGTTTCTCAGCCTCTGGCTTCAGGGGGGGGCTTTCTCGCTTTGGGAGGAGACACAGGGCCTTGGTGTCAGCTTTGATCTGGGCTCAGGGCTGATGCCTTCCCACCATTACAGGGGCACAAAGCGTCCCGTCTGCCAGGCTCCCCCCGGGGTTCATGGTCACTCTGGTCCCAATCCACCTCCCGGCTTCTGCCGTCCCCAGGAGCCCCCCTTGATTTCTGGCCCCTTGAGCATCTCCCGCCTAGATTAGGACCACCCATTTCTCTGTGGAGCCTGTTCCTTCTGGGGGAGGGTAAGAAGCCAGGGTCCCGGGTAGGGCACCTTGAAGGGCTTTGTAATGAAGGCAGGAACTTAACTGCACAGGCTTCTGACTCTCTGAAAGCTGCCCGGAGTCTACAGCTTGTTTGTGCTGCTCAGGGCAGGTCACCCCTATGGGTTCACCCACAGCACAACCGAGGCTAGTTCGATGGGGTGGACCCTGCCCTTCTGTCCACCGGGCTCCAGCCTCTACCCAGAGAACACTTGGGAGCCAGCCACCGGCGGGAGCCAGGCCCTGGGAGCCAGCTCACACAGGCAGCCGGGAGCGCTGCTGGCTGAGGCAAGGCAGGGCCCCTTCCAGTGCCCTTCCGTGCAGGCGGGACACTCTTTTCACAAATCGGAGGAAGGCCTGCGTGGGTTGCGGGGGCCCTGCCAGCACCTGGGAGCTCAGGTGGACCCCTGTGGAGGAGCCTGCTGGGCACACTCCGGGCCTGGACCTGACTCCTGACCAGCTTCAGGCCACTACAGGCGCTCGTGGAAACGTCTCTCCCTCTACACCTGCACCGCGTGGGGACAAGTATGGACAGAGACGCCTGCTGCCAAAAAAGAATTTTAATAAAGTGCCTAAAATTCTCTGCCGGAAATGAGCTGATTTGACCTTTTCTCAAGTTAAAGCCAGGACTCCCACGGGGACGAGGCTCAGGAGATGATCCGCAGGCCGGGCTTGCTCTCCTCCACGGCCTGCAGGCGCTCGTCCACTGCCTGGGTCCAATAGATGTCGTACAGGCTGTGGGGGGCGGGGCGGGGCGGGGGGGGCAGTGAGAGGAGCTGAGCTCCACGCCCCAGGGCCACTCACACCAGTAGATGTACAGGCTGCAGTGGGGGGGTCAGAGGAGCCGTGCCCCCCTCCCCCCACCCACCTTGGCACCTCACCTGCCTGCCCCTGCCCACCTACACCCCGCCACCCCTGCCCTACGCCCCAGGGCCACTCACACCAGCTGCTCCAGGCCGCAGATGGGCTGCTCCAGGCTGCCCAGCAGCTGCAGGATGCCGGGGTCGCCCAGGGCGTTGTTGCTGAGGTCCAGCTCCCGCAGGCTGCGGTTGGCCAGCAGCAGTGAGGCCAAGTCTCCACAGCTGCTGTTCGTCAGCTCACAGTCACCCACCCTGGGCAGAGGGCAGAACTGCGGTCGGGCGGAAGGTGCATCCCCCAGGCGGCCGTCAGGCCGAGGGGCGCCAGGGGGGGTCTAGGTCCCGGCCGTCCCCACCGTCAGCCCCAGTGGACACACCCCCCCAGCAGCTCACCAGAGCACCCGCAGCATGGTGCCCGGCTGGCCCAGGGCCTGACACAGCACGTGGACGCCCGCGTCACCCAGCGGGTTGCTGCTCAGCTGCAGCTCCAAGAGACGCTTGTTCTGGGTCAGCACTGAGCCAAGGTGCTGGCAGCAGGCGGCCGTGAACCCGCAGGACTTCACCCTGAGGGCGGCAGGAGCTGCAGTCGCCTAGGCCCACACTTCCGGGGGGTGCTGGGAGGCCCCCAGGGACCCGAACACAAGCCCTGAATGCCCCCCCGCCCCCGTCCTCAGGTGGCCACAGCGCCCTCCTGCCTGGTCCTCCAAGGCCCCAACGCTGCCGCCCCCCGTGCCCCCCACATCCGACCCCGAGCCCCTGGGGCCTTCAGCCCCCACGCGCCCCACAGCCCCAGTATCAGGGTCTCCAGCCCCCGCGGCCCCGCAGCCCCCTCACCACAGGGACTCCAGCTGGCAGCCGGGCTGCAGCAGGCTCTCGCACAGCAGCTGGGCGCCCTCGTCGCCCAGGCTGTTGCCTGTCAGACTCAGCTCCTTCAGGGTCTCCTTGGCCTGGAGGATGCGGCAGAGGTCTCTGCAGCTGCTAACGGTGAGCTCACACTCCCAGAGCCTGCGGGGTGGGGTCCCCGTCAACACAAGAGACCCTGGCACGCTCGGGGGGTGCCCGTCTGCCCGCCCCGCCTGGGGGCGGACTCACCACAGGGTCCTGAGCTGGGAGCTGGGGCTCAGCAGCCCAGGGCACAGCTCCGCCAGGCCCGCGTCGCCCAGCCGGTTGCTGCCCAGGTCCAGGTCCTTCAGCGAAACCTGGGAGGCCACAATCCCACACAGGTCCTTGCAGTTGGCTGCCACGAGGCCGCAGTTCTCCAATCTGGGGGCACGAGAGGAGCCGGGAGCTGGGGTGCCCCCACCACCACCACCGACCGTGCCCCCGCCCCGCCCCCGCCCCGCTCCCGCCAGGAGCTTACTTAAGTGTCTCCAGCTGGCAAGCGGACTCCGCCAGGCCCCGGCACAGCACCTGGACGCCGGCCTCGCCAATGTCGTTGTTGCCCACCACGAGCTCCTTCAGGTCCCGCGTGGCCCGGAGCACCGCGGCCAGGGGCTCGCAGCTGGCGGCCGTTAGGTTGCAGTACTCCAGCCTGGGGGCGAGCAGCAGTCAGCCCTGAGCCTGGCCCGGAGGGCCCTCGTCAGGGTCCTATTTCCCCCCGCCCCGGTGATGAAGACGACAGAGACTGGCGGGCTCCCAGGCGGGACAGCACAGGGGGCGGGGGCCATCTCCCTGGTAGAGACCCCGGAGGTGGACACCTTTCGGCCTCAGCCTTCTCCAGCCAACAGTGACCCCATTTATGTTCCCCAGGGCCACAGGGCCGCCGCCTCAAAGCTCTCTGCAGGCGATGAGCTGGGAGGAGGCCTGCCCAGGCAGACACTCCGCAAAACGCAGGGGATAGGTGAGAACAGGGCTGGGGGTGCCAGGGGCAGGTGAGACCACGCAGGACCCCGGGCAGGCGCACTCACTGCAGCTTCTCCAGGCGGCACTGGGGGTCCAGGAGCCCCTCACAGAGCAGCCGCAGGCCAGCGTCCCCCAGTGGGTTGTCGCTGAGGTGCAGCTCCCGCAGGGTGGGAAGGGAGCGCAGCACGCCAGGCAGGACCCCGCAACCAGCCTCCGTCAGGCAGCAGTTCTGGAGGCTGGAGACACCGGCGGTCAGGGGGCCCGAGAGCCACCCAGCCCCCCACGAAGACAAGTCACCCTTGGCTGTGGGAGACTCAGGGCCCAGGAATGACGGGCGGGCTTGTCCTGCACTCGCAGGGTCCGACCTAGCGCCTTACCTGAGCTTCTGGATCTTGCAGGTGGGACTCTGCAGGCCCTGGAGCACCAGGAGCACGCCACCGTCGCCTAGCTCGTTGGTGCGGAGGCTGAGCTCCGTCAGGGATGGGTTGGCCTGGAGCGCGGAACCGATGTCCTTGCAGCGCACCTCCGTGAGGCCACAGTCGTCCAGCCTGTGGGTGGACACACAGTCACTGCACACAGTGGACTGTGACCGTCCTGTGACAGGCCAACAGGCAGGAAGGCCACGGGGCTCCAAACGGAGGAAACAGACTGCAAGTGTCAGACATTTTTTCTCTCTCTTAAGCAGCAGGAGGAAACAAACTACAAGTGTTAGGTTTTTTTCTCCTTCTCTATGTAAATTTTTTAGAAAGGTTTCTTTAAAAACTCTGTGTTGCCATGAAAACACCTGGTTCCACCAGAACTTTTCTCAACCTAAGAGTCTTAGGCAGAACCAACTTGACAAACCAGTATGTTTTACTCATGCAAATGTTCTCCTAAGCTATGTTACTAACACAATGTCTTTACTTGGAAACGTGCCTTTCCTCAAGATTTATGTCAATTGTTTTATGGCTCGGGATGACTCACCAGATGCCAATGTTATCTCCAAATGCATGTTGTGGGTGAGGGGCCTGGTGCCAGTCTCCTTTTTGGGACACCTCCTTTCTCTAATTCAGTTCAGTTCAATAGCTCGGTTGTGTCTGACTCTTTGCGACCCCACGGACTGCAGCATGCTAGGTCTCCCTGTCCATCACCAAGTCCCAGAGTTTATTCAAAGTCATGTCCATTGAGTCAGTGATGCCATCCAACCATCTCATCCTCTGTCGTCCCCTTCTCTTCCCACCCTCAATCTTTCCCAGCATCAGGGTCTTTTCCAATGAGTCAGTTCTTCACATCAGGTGGCCAAAATACTGGAGTTTTGGCTTCAACATCAGTCCTTCCAATGAATATTCAGGAAGGATTTCCTTGCTATCCAAGGGACTCTCAAGAGTCTTCTCCAAAACCACAGTTCAAAAGCATAAATTCTTTGGCGCTCAGCTTTCTTTATAGTCCAACTATCACATCCATACATAACTACTGGAAAAACCACAGCCTTGATGAGACGGACCTTTGTTGGTAATGTCTCTGCTTTTTAATATGCTGTCTCAGTTCAGTTCAGTTCAGTCGCTAAGTCGTGTCTGACTCTTTGCAACCCCATGAATCTCAGCATGCCAGGCCTCCCTGTCCATCACCAGCTCCCGGAGTTTACCTGAACTCATGTCCATTGAGTCGGT